AAATATAAACTGGCAACGAAAGTTAATCAGTGCAAATCGTGCAAATTTCTAACTATCTATTAATCTTGCCATGAGTTTTCGTGACTGTGTATGATCGGAATATTCCTTCTCATTCATTTGATTACTTTATGGATCATTGAATTACGATTTCTTATTTTTAATTTTGTTCTATTCCTGAATTATAGTTCAACGATTCGCTAGTTTTAGAAACAATTTAGATTTTATTAAAAATGTAACTTTAATGAAGGAAATGGAAAGAGACAGTATAATTCCGGACGATATTCACTTCTAATGTTACCTTAACTTTGGTATTATTTAATAATTGTTGTTTTTGCCTCCCCCCCTAAATGGTACGCGTTGATTGTTGGCCATTGTGTGTACTGTACTCGATGTTGTGGGATTTGGTACTGGGTGGCTCTAATAGCGTTCAATTTCATATAATGTATCTGCATTGCGTATCGAATGGACATTAGCAGTTCTGAAAGTAGCTTCGGCTCGTTTTCATTACCTCCACGCAGTCGCCGTTCGCGAAGCAGACGACATTCGTTCGATCGTCATTTTGTGGTTCATTCCCAAAGCAAGGTAAAACTTGCGCCACCGTTTTCAAAGCTAATAAAGTTTAGAGAAGTTTCAGGCGAAAAGAAAGTCAAACCATGATGAACTTGACGTTCTTGGAAAGAAATCATGCCAGTAAGTTTTGTTTGCTTGCTCCTGCCATGACGGTCATTGTTTATTGTCATTTTTGAATGTATATGATGCGCTACTAGCGCCGATGTTCTTCACATTGCAAAAGTTAGTTATTTCAGTAGCTTCTGGTTTAACAAACCTGCCTCATCTCGAAAGCTTCAAGTCTTCAAGTTTCTGTTGTTATTTTGAGTATATTATCGGGAATTTTATGAAAAACCAAGGATCGGAATCAGATGAGCGGTCGTTGTCCAAATGCATAAATGATGCTTTACCCCAGGAGAAGCTCCGCCAAGATTTTACGGCAGTTATGCTCTAGTGGCAAGAAAAGCAACAGTTCAGACGGCGCTGCCTTGATGCTTTTCTAAAGAGCAACATATGGTAACTTTTTTAGTTCAACGATAGTAATATTTATTTCAGCATAATCAGTATAATTTATGCACAATTTTTTAGCTTATTCTTGTTTCTACTGAGCTGTACAGCTATTTTTATCGGCCATATTTTACATCTTTTCACGTAGCAAATAACTTTTTAGCAGAATTCATCTATGACTTCCTGTTAAAGCAGGTCTCAACGATAATTGCCAACTCTCCAAACTAGGTTTGTAAAGGTAGCAGAGCTGTAATTGTCCGCGTAGCTGAGAACGCGGCGGTACTTGAGTGCCACAGCAATTATTGTCTTCTCAGTTCTTTACCACAACTAACTGAACATTTCACAGCTTATGCTTAAGGACATGTTGAGGGTAAGCTTTTTTTTTAAATGACTTTTCCTGAGATTTTGCTCTCGACTTTGGTTAGTTGATTTTCAGCCTTTCTGAACGCAATGAATTTCTGCTTCGCTTTATCATATGTTCAGTGGGGGCGTAGACAAGACCCGTTGAGTATGGTCTTCGACTTTGGCAGTGTACGATGACCAGTTCGCTTTTCGAAATTTCCAGCGAGGTAGCGGAGCAGACTGAATTAGCGGTACCTGCAGACCGATTCGCAGCACAACAGGGCTTTGCTGGCTTTTTGGAAAGAATCCAAGCACTGTCCTGAAAGAAGGAAGCGGAATGCCGCTACTGTCTTTGGAGTCTAAGCAAAAGTTCGGGCTACGGTCAGCTTCATTTCTTTGGCCCTTATAAAGATTTGGATTTCTTCACTCTTCTTCTATGGCTTTCATAAGGACAGTTGAGTTTCTTTGCTCTTCTTCTATGCTTCAAAAAGACCGTTTGATTTATTTCATACTGGTTTACATGTTTGGTTCTGAGAAGAACCGTTAGATTTGTTGCTAGTCGAGCCGAGAGATTGCTTTCGCAACGTTCGGCTGTCAGGTGATGACATTCGTTGTATTGTTAAGCTTTGGCATATTTTTGCGATACGTAACAGGAATACCACGTGAAGATTGTCGTCTCGTCCCCATATGTAAACGGTCAAGAACTATTTGGAATGTTTCTAAAAACTGAACTGGAATATTTTGTTGGTGTGTTCGCATCCATACTGAAAAGGAAACATTCACAACCCAATGTAGAGAAGACAGATATTATTAAACAGATATTATTATTAAACGTTTATTCGTTTAGACTTTGCTAGCAGCACACTGAAATATTTCTGTAAATTATAATATATATTGGAACAATCATTAAACTCAACGCTTTATATAGTGATACGTTTCTTCCAGTCCTGATTTCTTCGCGTTGTACACAGAAAGGGTAGCAAGACCTGTGGTAAACCTCTGCGAGCGCTGGAATGGCGTTGAGTTTGCTTCCGGTATCTGAACGCCGATTTTTCATTTGGACTTCACGTGTTAAGGGATGACTGTCATCCCCATCAATAAGTTAACAAGTTGCAGAGCTGTGCAGATTATGCTGTATTATTCGTGCTGCTTTGTGAACGATTGCCTCCACCCGAATCTTACTGATTAGAGAGATAAGCACGACAACTCGACGAAGTATGCGAAAATCCCTTCGTTGCAGACCAACAAAAACTACTGTGCCGTTGTAAGCAGGCAGTCATCGGTACTAAGCAGACAAACACGAAGAAACGAACAGTTTCACACGAAGGTAGTATCGAGAACTTCAACAATCTCACGAGTTAGAAAGACTCGTTCGTTGCACTCTTCGATAGACATGGGATTCACCTGATTATGTCAATCTAAAGGTCATCTAAGTAAACCCCAGGTACTGAACCGTATGAGCGTTGAGATCGTATTGAGATCTGCTGGCTCTGAAACCGTATTGAGATCTGCTGGCTCTGAAAAGTTGTTTGTTCGACTACTGTCAATAAATGTCTTGACCTGGTGTGTTTCATGACACATTTAATTTCAAACCTCTTGCTACTGTTAATCTTCAGACCGTTGAACGCGATCTACGGTTCAGTTTCCATATCTTCAGTTGTATCACAGAAGAATCTGCGACGTCTCTGATAGCTGAAATCAGTACCGTATCATCAGCATGTAGAACACAGACGGAATTGGATTCACTTAAAAGATGAACAGCGGTGGTGATAGATTGTAGTGTTGTCGAACTTGAGGGCTATTTGGCATATTGTATGAACGCCGCTTTCCAGCAGGGATAAACTGCGATCTCTCTGAGAAAGTGTCTGAGAATATAGCGTTCTTTCAGACGATAGACCGGCATTCACGTGTTGTCTCGTATCTAGCTTATCTTCATCAACGATAGTCTGATGGTAACGTTCGTACGTCCTTAAGGTCGTTTGTTTGGGTGGGTTGCCTTTCAGCCAACAAGCCTCAAAGCTTGTTTGAGGTTTTGTGATTCTTTGTTAGAAAGTTTTCTGGCTGAAATTGAGGTTCAGGGAAGAGGAACCCGCAGTGATCACAAAAGCTAACTATTGCTATGAAGCGTCACTGTTAGAGAAAATGCGATCATTAAAGAAACGTCACGTTATGGTGATGAAATTCTGGTAAGACTCAAGATCTTCGACTTCGTCATGCTGAAATAAAAACGGCTATATGGTGGCGGCGCAGTTCGCAAGTAACGAGATGTTGCTGCTGAAGGTAAATGCAATTTATTCCCTTTCATTCTCTGACACGATCTTAATTGCAGAGTCCCCTTGGTTCTGTGGTTTCATGCCGTTATATAAACTATTGAGCATCAACGTAAAAACGCATAACTTTGTGAAAACGCTGAACAAGCCTTTTCGAACACCATTTAAAATAACTGTACTCGCTGGTTTATATCTCGCAAGGAATATCTGTAATTTTCAGGGTTTACTGATAAAGGTTAAG